TCCGATACGAACAGAAAAGGCTACGGCTATTTCTACTTGGGGACGACACATAATGGCAACTGTTTTTTTTCTGCACCTCAGTGGCTCATTTCAAAGTCACTGGGCCAGGACAGCTCTTTTGTGTTTCTATATTACTCTTTCTTTGAAATATGTGTCTTACTATGTACGTACGTGCTGGCATATCAAGGCTCAAAATGAGTACCCTTGTCTTTCTGACTACATTCTGCAGTGATTTAGGGTGGAGTGAGTTAGTCCTGAATAGTTTATGCAGTATTTAATAGACTGTTTACTTGAAGCCTGATTGATTCTTATTTGTGTTACTGTTACTCATCCCAGTATGTTTTTATACGGATCAGGATTTCTTTCTTCAAATGTAATATTTTCCTCTAAAGAGTGGGAAATTTCAGCAAAGTAAGGTGACCTATAATTCTACTGGCTTTTAGGAAGTCTGGTTATGTGATATGTAGTCTGCATACCCTTAAGGGCTTGGCCAAGTATATCAAGGCCTAAAGAAACCAGACAATAATTTGCATGAATGTAGGCTGCCCATTTGCAGAACAAACCTGAGTTTTAGGGTCCCTACAGGAAAACCAAGCCTTCAGGAGAATTCTTCCCATTTCTCCAAGGTCTTTGAAAAGCAGCAGAGGCTAAATCCAAGAGGGCTTTTTAAGAAGTGACTATAAATCAGAGCAGAATCTCTTGACCCCATGCTAAACCCATATGTGTTTTGCTCCTTGTACTCTGAGTAATTTCTCCATCACATTATACATTTGTGTAACAGTGTAGATGAAAATTTTGGCTCAGAAGTGACACAGTGAGTTATGTTTCAAGAACAAATTAGAAACGGGGGAAAAACATATTTCTAAGTGGAAGAGTATATGTATATGCATGATTTCTTTCTCCATATTTTCCTATTAGAAATCTACAAAAGTTTACTGAAACTGGTCTTTAAAAAAAAAAAAATGGATCCCTTACTCTTCAAAAAAACAAGCTGCAAATAGCCACTCTGATTATAAATATATGGATTACAAAAAGTGAGGTATAGGGAAAATAAGAAAAGAGAAAGGAAAAAGGTTGATTCTCAAATTGGCCGAGCCCCACTCCCCATGTCCCAGCTCAGTGTAATCTGTACTAAGGTCGTATTGTTAAAATATGCTATGTGTCATACCTGTCAAAAATAAATATTTAAAAGAAGCTCATAACCATAAAAGAAGTCTGCTATAATCATACTAAACTTCAAAAAAGGAGATATATTATTATAGTTGAAATGTATCCTGTTTGAATTGTATTTGAAAAGAAAGTTTTTAATTAAATAGATATTCCTAAGCCTTCTACTGACATTCTCATCTTGCTAAAAATGGCACCAGCATCATAAACTCACAATAATGAACAGCCCCCCTATAAAACACTCCTTGATTTTTATAAAATAAACTAATTATGATTTAACTATGACACCAACTAAGTGCTTCTTTACATTCTTTATGTGAGAAAAACAAATCTAGTGTATCACATTTTACTCTGAAGGTTTTAAAAACAACACTGTTCAGTGGATGATAATCACAAGGAAGGGTACAGACTAAAAGATTAAAATTAAATCCATCTATCAAGGATAATTTACTAAAATAATTCATTTTAATTTCCAATCTAATCATGTGCTAATGACTCATTTAAACAATGAAACTGCTTATAGTTAATTATTCAGAGAGATTTTTAATATAATGTATGGAAAAGCATATTAAAGATGGAAAAACTCAGAATAATGTAAATTATAACACAACAAAACAGTCTTCTGCTTCAGCTCAAAAGCAGAGCATTTCAAAAATGTCTCCGTAACAATCTTCTTTAAAAAGCTGAATGATTTTGAAATATTTTGGCATTGTAATTAAAGGGTATCAAGGTACACACCAAGGAACCCTGAACACTACGGTATAACTACATTTCAAATGAATTTTTATGAAATGCATAGAAGTTATAGAAGCATACTAACTGGGCTGAACAAAGTCTGAGGTTCACAGAACTACTGATATAAAACTTTCCTCCGCTAAAAAATAATAAATCAATAAGAACATTCAGGTTTTAAAAGAAGATAATAAAAATGTACTCAATAAAAATTCAAAAAATAAATATTCACTTATGATAGAGATCCAAAGGCTTGCATCTAAAATGTGATTAAAAACTTTAGGTGAGCCCAAGAAAGGATGAAAGAATTACTGAGAATGTGCAAGTGTTCAGTCATATTCTGACCTATGAAGTCAGCTTTATTAATAATAACTTTAATTGTATAATAAATTATTCTGTAGATTTAAGCAAAAGGATGTGAGTTTAATACCTACATTCTGGTGAGCAAATAAGCTTTTTGTAACTTATAAATTTCAATTAAGGAAAAAAATTTAAAAGTTAAAACAACGTAGTTTTCAGTACACTAATATATTTTTTTACTTTGTAATACAATATAGCTGTCACATACAATGGCTCTGGTAGGCTTAAATCAAATGTCAGTGGGCAAAGAGGGTCAGAGAAGGGTTTATGTACAATATTCAATAAGCAATAATATCTATTCAGTGTACAGTAACAAAATTTTAAAAGTACTAACCTAGAAACACAGAAAAAGAATTTATTGTTTTTAAATTCCAGAAATGAAAATAACATAACAGCATGTCATTCAAAACAAGCTGGCCCTATAATTTCTAAACTAGAGTCCAATTAAAACATTTAAGAAATAGAAACAATCTACATGTTTTTCTACCAGGTAAATGTACCTGAGAAAGTTACCTATAAAGAAAGAGGCTTTAAAACTCTTAACCACAAAGACTCTTCTACTGTGACATTATGAGGACGTGCCGGGCACCTGACAGGGAGGGAAGCCCTTTCCCACAGTCTGTTCACCACACACTGCAGGCTGCAGCCTGTCAGCGAAACAATATTTCATAGCAACACCAAGCTCATTTGATCGAAGCAGCACAGTAACATTTTAAAACCATGTTTATCTTCATTAGTATGTAAAAATCACCATACACAAATTTGGAAATGTTTAACGTGTCCATAAGTTAGAGTGTATTATTTCAGCATAAGCTTCAAAAAAAAAAAACGGTCTGAGGAGTCAGCCCCAATATAGGAGAAAGAGATGCTACATTTTGACTAAAGTAAAGGTATTTTAAAATTATAGTTGTTGTCATTGCTAAGAATTAACAAATAAATACAAATTTAAAAATTTAAGTAGTTCTTCTGGCAGCAAAATTACGTCTATCAGAGGAACATCTCCAACCAAAAAATCAGTTCAGAGCTTGAATGCAATTTGTGCTTTGTTTCTATAAAAATGCAAATGCAGTGTTACTTTCAGACATTTCTAAATGACTAGACTTGTAAATAAACAGTGAATTCCTTTTCATCACAGTTTATTTCTAGTTCACCCGATGCAGATTATAGATAGAACTAAAAATTGCTTAGTTTTTCTTTTCCAGTACTTTAACTGTGCGAATCAAGGTCCTTTTATTTTAAACAGTGATTTATTGTTAGTCTTAAGGTAAACAACGAAAACAAGTTCTAAATTTTAATTTTTAAGTTAAGTGTTTAAAATTTCAGATGACAGAGCCAAAAACTGGTAACAGCTTTTTAGATTTCATATTTATAGTCTAAGTAAAAACACTCAACGACTACCTGGCAATAGATGTGAAAGAATCAGGTTTCTGTGATGAGAAACAAAGAAAAGAACATGCAAAATACCCCCTTGGTAAAACATATGATCTTCTCTCTTACATCTAAATGTGTAAAATTTTTATAAATACATGATCATTCTACACAATACAGATCTTCTAGAAGATTTCTCAAGGAAATTAACAGTTTTTGGTCTTAGGGAGTAAGACTAAGATGGAAAGGGGGGTGAAAATAATGAAATCTGAGGGAGCAGTCCACTCTTTCTACACACAAGCACGCTGCTGTTTACCCAGTCAAGTGAGCGATTACAGCTCAGTACAGGATTTCCAAGGCAACTAAGAAGTCAGAACACAGGTATTTCCTCTTCCTAGAGTTAACAATTCTTTAAAGAGTTCTACTCGTAAAGGATTGTTGGTTTTTTTTTTTCAAAAGGGAACACTGACTAAACGGTGGGGGGCGGGGGGGGGAGGTTTCCAGCCCCAAATTCATATACACAACAAGCGGACTATAAGCTAGATTTAGACTGCCCGGTGAAATAGACTTGTTGGTACCGTCTAAGGTAGGCGCTACCCTAGATGGTTCCAAACACGATCTAGTAAAACGATACATGTTTTTATGCCTCAGACAACTAGAAAGCATTACTGTTCTAATACCATGTTTAACTAACTCCTAAGAGAATAGACTTCTAGGATGTTGTACCTTAGCGGTATACCTGAATCGTTGCCAGCAATAGAATATGCCAAAATTCAAAACTGCTATGAAAGTAAAATCATCATTAGAAAAGACCCTACTGCAAAATGAGGGAGGGCTCAGTGCTAGGTCCTAATACCCAGTGTAAGAAGGCAGAATTTTCGTTTGGGGGGGGAGGGTGAGGGAACAGATGCGCCCAAGCAGAACGCAGAACAGAGAATGAAAGCTGTTCAGGAAGAAAACAAAACAAAAACGGAAGAAGGAATATGGAGGAGAGCCAGGCGGCAAAAGAATTACTGGAGAGAATGAAAGATCTTCAAGATGAGGCCTGTGCACATGACTCGCCTTTCTGCCCTCTGCGCTCCTAATAACTTACAATGTAGGTGGCATAGAAGTCACGCCAGCAGGCAAGAATGAGCTTTCTGATGGACAGAGATGAAGGATTCGGGGCTCATGACCTGTTTTGTTTTCTTGTTTTTGTTTTCGCTTTTAACTCATACCTGAAAGCCTTGAATCCTTGCTAAATATTCCAGCTGTTGTGAAGGCTGTGCTGGAGAACAAGGGGGAGGAGAACTTCCTTTTAAACCCACGGCTTCAGCTGTCGGTGTTCCATTCACAAGGAGTTCCCTGGCAATTGTAGCCGAACCACTCGAGGTGGGACATATACTGAAGAAAGAGCTTGAGGGTTGGTTCATATCTTTGGGTGACAAATAGCCTAGAGCAGTGCCAGAGATTACTTTGTGGCGGCTGGCTTCCATCTCTTGATAAACATCAGGAGACAAATGAAGAATTCCTTTTGGAGCTACAAGTAAAATAAAGGAACACTGTTATTACACGTAAAGTAAGTGGAACAGAAACATGTTATAGCATTATTAACTCAAGGATTTCCCTTGACACAGTGACTGAGCAGTGAGAAACGCTGTTAAGCAAGCACCTTCCCCACGCTTGCAGAGGCAACGGCAGTCTCCTTTTTGGAGGTGGATAACGTATGTTTCAATATTCCTAAAATCATTAGGATAAACAAGCCACCAAAGTGACTTCAGGGGAAAGTGTACGTGGTAGGGAAGCTGTGGAGGAACACGGGTAACTGACGTGTGGAAGTGCAACACGGGATAAGATTAGGAATGTGCAGGGTCTTCACCCTGCAACTTAACATTTTATGATCTCATAAAAGAGATCCCTAACATGGATTTTGCTGCAAAATCCCTAACATATGCAGCAATTGAGACACAGTGGGTAAAAAAGAAGGCCGGGTCAGCCCAAACGATCTGAGGAACAAACTCCTATATCCGACGGCCTACTGGTGTTCTCCTATGTCCCACCATCAATTCTATCTCATGAACACATCAAAAAGCGACAGAGCATCTTCTCCCCCAAACCGTCTCCTATCTGGCTTACCCCATCATGATACCACCATCCACCTGCTCAGCTGCCCAACCTAGACTCCTGGCAACCATCTTTGAGTCACCCACAAACAAGTAACTGCCGTGTGCAGTCTAGAATTTGCCCCATCATCACCAGGTGCATTAGTTCAAGCCAGGCCACACACAGGTTCTAATATCAAGAGGAGTGAGCCTGGGGCTGTGTCATCAGTTGGCAGGGTTGTAAACATATCAAAACAGCACTTTCCTTTGACTACCATTTGTCTCAGAGAGGTTTCAAACCACATTTCACACTGCTTGTTCTAATATCTTTGGATCAGATTTTAACGACTCTTAAATCATGATATTGCCTTTTAAAATTACTGATAAATCACCACTTTTGGAGGACGTGCTCTGAGAGACACAACTTAATTCCCTTGGTCCTGCCTCCCCCTTTCCCACCACCAACCTCCTGATTCAAGCCCTCAGTGTTTCTGGCCAGGGTTACTTTAACAACCACTAAAAGTTTCACCGCTGCTATTCTCCCCAGTGTCCATTTCCCAAAATGTGTTCTATAACATAGTCCCCCAATATAAGGGTTCCATGATAAATAAATTGGGGAAGTAACGAAAATTATATCACACACAAACATCCCTTTTGGAGGATTAAAAATGCACACGAGCACAGTAAAGACAGAGAAGTCCAGAAGAACAGAAATCTATTCAACTTGGTTTAACCCAGGGTTTCCCAAATTTTTTTATATCCAGGCTTTTCACATAATATTAATAATATCTAACACTCGGGGAAATGCTAAGACCAGCTACCCTCTTACTTCAAGGTCTTCACTGGCTCCCCATCACTTACACGATAAAAATCTAAACTTCTTAGGATGACATATGAAGCCCTCAGTGACCTGGCCCCTCCTCACCTCTCCATCCTACTAAAATACTCATGCGGAACCCATGCTCCCATCATGCAAATATATTCACACTTCTTCCAATACTCTGGCTTGTTTGATCACATCATATCTTTATTTCTATTGTGTACACACACACACACACACACACACACACACACACACACACACACACACACACACACCAGTTAAGCTCTGACTACTAGGTTCCAGGCCCTGTGCTAACCAATATTGTCCTGACCTCAAGTCACCCTCAGCCTCTTAGGAGAGGAAAATGAAAGGGATAAATAACACAGGGTGGTAAGTGCCTCTGGAGAGGTGGGAAAGGAGAAGCACTAGGAGCTCAGCAAAGGCTTCCTGGAGGTGGTACTGATGGCACATCGCGGGCACTAGCAGAGTAAGCCCAGGAAAGCAAGAAGGGGGAGGTGCGAACTGCAACGGGGGAGGGAGGAGGCAGGAAGGGGCGGAGCTCCAGGAGACTTCATCCTGACAGCATTAAACACAAAGGAGTTGCTTTTGAAAATAATTTATATATGGGACTTCCCCGGCGGTCCAGTGCTTAGGGCTCGGCGCTTCCACCGCAGGGGCTTGGGTTCGAACCCTGGTCCGGGAACTAAGATCCCGCACGTCACACGGCGCAGCCAAAAAAATAAGTGATTTATGTAGCTTAAAATAACATATCAATCCCATATTATGGATTTACTTTATGCCTCTGTGTTTGTTAGCTTTATATCCAGGAAAAATTTCAATAAAAAAATTTTAAAAGAAAACATATGCATTGGAAAAAAGATGAATCTCACTAGCCAGGGGAAACTACTTTTACATTTGGCTTTAAAAATATACTTTTACAGGCTTCCCTGGTGGCGCAGTGGTTGGGAGTCCGCCTGCCGATGCAGGGGACGCGGGTTTGTGTCCTGGTTCGGGAGGATCCCACACGCCGCGGAGCGGCTGGGCCCGTGAGCTATGGCCGCTGAGCCTGCGCGTTCAGAGCCTGTGCTCCGCAACGGGAGGGGCCACAACAGTGAGAGGCCCGCGTACCGCCAAAAGAAAAAAAAACAAAACAAAACCACATGATCCTTTTGTTGTTTACAAAACAATAGACTTTCATTAATAATTTTAAGGCTTAAATTTTCATTATATGAATTGTTTCCTTAAACAATTCCGCATTGTTGGACATCTAATTTACCTCCTTTTCATGCAATTAAAACAATATAGTGAAACACATTTTTTGCAATTACATCCTTATTCACATGAAGATTGATTTCCTCCACTTAGAAGCAGAATTGCTAGTTCGAAGAATACGCATTTTAGTTTTTCTGACACTAACAAACTGCTCCAAGTTGGTACAACTCCAACAGCGGTGCCAATTTCACGCTTCCATACTAACATATGCAAGCTTCTCTTTCCTACTTTGGTACTGGACATTATTATTAAAAAATCCTTGCCACTGTTCTCTGTTAGTCCCATAAGTGGCAAAGATTTTTTTAATAATAGCTAATACCAAAATAGGAAAAAAAGGTACTTTTAGCCCCACCACCTGACATCTGGGGAGGTGAGAGGAGCTGGAGATTTGAGTTCAATCATCAGTGGTCAGCATTTTAATCAGTCATGCCTACATAAGGGAACCACCACAAAACCCCTAAATGAGGAGGTCTGGGAACCTTCTGAGTTTTGAACACATCCACATGCCGGGAGGATCGGGCTCCCCAACTCCATGGGGACAGAAGCTTCTGTGCTCTAGAGCTTTTCGAACCTCATCCTGTGTACCTCTTCAGCTGGCTTTTTGTTTTAAATTCCTTTATAATAAACCAGTGATAGTATCTTCCCAAGTTCTGTGAGCTGTTCTAGCAAATTCTCGAACTTGAGAAGGGAGTTGTGGGAACCCCCTGAATTTACAGCCAGTTGGTCAGGAGTACCGGTGGCAACGTGGGACTTGTGACTGGCAGAAGTGGGGCATCTTGTGTGGCGGAGCCCTTAATCTGCGGGGTCTGTGCTAATTCCGGGGAGTGTCAGAACTGAACTGTAGGACACCCTGTTAGTGCCTGGAAAATTGGAGAATGGGTTGGTATGGGGGAAAAAATGCCTATACATTTGGTATCAGAAGTGTAGCAAAAACAGTCATATGTCAACACTGATCAAACTGCACACATGTGTGCAGTTTATTATACTTCAATTTTATCTCAACAAAGTAAAAATATTTGCCAATTTGATTAAGTGCTATGTCATATCGTTAATCTTTTTTATATTTTCACTAGCTGCACAAACACCATATGTAATTCTTACTTAAAGAATAACTCAATGTATGACTCTAAATTCTATACTCAATTTAAGAAATCAGGAAACTAACAGCATTATCTCAGTACTGCTATTATACAGAAGTAATGGGCTTGCCAACAGCAATATTATAAAGCAACGAAAATGCTCTCCCAACACTCAAGAGAGGCATTACATCACAGTATAAGAACTCATGCAGAGTACAGGCTCCCTTATTCTACAGTAAAGCCTGAATCGACTTTTCTTCATGAATAAAGAAGATTCCTTTCTGCAGAGCTCAAGTGATGTAACAGCCATTCAAAGACTGTAAAGGCACTTGTGGATTTATGCAGTCAACTACCGAATGATTTTCAACATGAAAATTAGTAAACAGTGTTTGGATCAGTCACAATTCATTTAGGTTCTTTCTGTGGTAAATTTAAGTCACTTTTCAGTAGGGTAAAGACCGAAAAGCAGATTCAAAGTTCAGATATACATGTTTAAGGACTTTCAACTGTCTCCTGAAAAACTATATCCATTTATGCTTCTATTAGCAATGGGTGACTAAAACCTGTTTTCCTACACATCTGTCAAAACAGGTTTTAGTTATTCTAAATAATTACTGCCACTCTACAACATTTATTGTTTAATATATTAATTTACATTTATTTGATTACTGCACAGATAAACTTTCTCTCATGTGACCAAAAAGGCCCAAGCCTTTTTTCCTGTTGGCTTTGACCTCGGTTTTGCTCATGGCCTTGGAAGGTATTCCCTTGCTCAGGCTTGTTATATCTGTTATATTTACCCTCTATCTGCAGATGTCCTGAACCCATTCTCCCATCATCTATCTTCTGTCCCTGATTTTGCCTTTAATACTCCCATCTTATTTTATTTTTTTTTGCAGTACGCCGGCCTCTCACTGTTGTGGCCTCTCCCATTGCGGAGCACAGGCCCCGGACGCGCAGGCTCAGCGGCCATGGCTCACGGGCCCAGCCGCTCCGTGGCATGTGGGATCTTCCCGGACCCGGGCACGAACCCGCGTCCCCTGCATCCGCAGGCGGACTCCCAACCACCGCGCCATCAGGGAAGCCCCAATACTCCCATTGTAATACTGTCGATCTGAAACCACTGTACGTGGCTACACCGCAGATACAACACTGGCACTAGTCTAGCTCTTTACACGCATTATCTAATTTAAACCCCACAACAACCATATGAAATGGATTTTTATTTCTCTATATTATAGATGAAAAAACTGAAGCACAGAGA